GTCAGCATGGGTTCAGAATGTACTCTGTCCAATCAATCTTTTTTTGCCTGCCATTACTCTCTTCTTTGCTGACCATCTGACGGAAATAATGTGGTAGAAACCCACTGAATTCAGGCCTGTAATGGACCCTGGGCCAGATTTGAAAATGGGGACCCAGAGGGACGGGACAGGATTTGGGATTCTCGATCGTCCCGCTTACGATCCTCGACCGTTGGTGGCGCATCTTGAACTCTACCATCAGATGAATTCTATCCCTTCAAACAGCTGCAATACTAATTCAATTACTGCAATTTACTGTGCATATTCTTCACCGGTCTCAATTGTCATCTGTCTCTTATTTTCTTTTTCGGCGATTGCCAACGGCAACTGCAGGCTGTTCAATAATTCGCTACACTACGAGCTGATGAATGATCCGCTGCATCTTCCGAGACACGCATCGATCGAAACCCTATCAAATCTCTCCGTCTGCGCAAAAGAAATTCAGTTCCTCAAGTAAAAAGCATCTGATGGGAAGGAAGAAGTTGTTTGTAGAAAAGATGCAAGGTACCAGTAACTTGACTTAAACTTACCCTGCATCATGGACCTTCCAAACAAAGTCAGACTGTTGACGTTCCGTGACTGTTCTAGGCTGCAGTTTAGTTTAGTTTGTGCGTCTGCATTTACCGTCGATCACTTGTCGAAATGCATTGCGCTTGACTCGCTGGATTTAAAACAAGTGCCGTTGATCAGCGACCACCAGCCTCAATACGTTTTAGCCAGTAAAGAGTCCTCACTGTAGGTACCTGTATCAGTACCTGTGAGTGAAGGACTGAAGGTTGAATACAATACATTGTCTGCCCATAGTTCCCTCGTGTCCAGATCGAGTGTCATGATTAGAGTCCGAGTAACACAAAAGTCCCATCTGCTCTTGGCTGTACCATCAAAAGATCTCGCTCGTCTCTACTGTTTGTCTACCTAGGTCTTGACGATCTCTCTTAGCTCCCGCAAAGTGTGGCTGGTGGGATCTGACAACCCCACCATTAAGTCCAAGTCCAAACTCAAATCCTCCATCCCCAGACGAAAGAGAAAAGAAGGATCCAATGTGATTGACATTTGGGGGTTTTGTTTCAAACCCGAAACACTTTTCCTCTCTATTCCCTTCAATTTCCATCTCATGTCATAGCACATAGATAGCTTGCTCTAACAACAGAGGATCTCGTTATCAACACCAAGACTCTATTGTATCACATACAGTTTCTGTATGTTTCACTGCAGGTCTTTTATACCTGAAGAAAATGTTTCTCTCCCCTCTCCATCTTCTGCCGTCTCTTGTGTCTCGCCCTGCTTTTCTGCTCTTGTTCTGCTTGCACTGTATCTGTATAGGATGTATTGCTCAGCCAAGCCGCGCCCCTGCAGATGTTCCAACACTCACTCAGCCTGTGCCGTGCGCTTTGACATGGGCCGGACCAGTCACTTTTCTCTAGAGGACTTGCCTTCATGTCCCGCGCGCCTCTTTTATTTAATATGTCATGCTTTCTATTCCTTGGAAGCCAGCATCTTTCTCATTCTCGATCGATTACTCTCCGTACGAGTATGCGAAAATGACTGACTCGTCGAGGATGTTATACTAAAACTCCAGGAGATGCTCCGAGGCAAATTGGTGTCTTTTCATAGGCGGAGGTTAGTCCGGTGTTGGTTCAACTTAGGTTACAGTACAGAGTACTTAGAGGGGGGACGATCCTCTTTGGCGCCGGGAGGCCTTTGAGCTATTGTCTCCAAATACTTTACTCCCTTTTCTTCTGCTTGCTATCTTGGACAATAAAAGATAAAGGGCGAGGCCTGATGGTTTGACCTGACTTACCGGCCCGGTGGCATGGCATGGCATGGCATGGCATCAAATCTTACAGTGATATCGTTATCCAATGGTCAGACCCAAGCCTCAAAACCCGAGATGGTGGTCGAATCTTGACGTGATTTGACTGTGTCCTGACCCCAGACCTCAGTGCCGAGACCCAGTCGATCACGTCAGCCAGACACGGCAATACGGATGCCCCTGAGATTTCTTTTCCTCTTTATCTCTTGGGCTCCCTCTAGAGGTAGGTATTCAAGACATCTACTGAGTTATCCCATGGAATAGAAAGGGGAATTGCACGTCAACGATCGACCCAGCTGGCCGGGAGCCTGTGGAATGTGAATGGAACTCCAAAACATCGCCACAAGTTGAGGTGACTTAACAGGGGCTGCCAGGGGACCAGGGCCCTGAACCTTTATCCATGCATTCTTTTTCCTCTTTGGTCTTGCTGCATGTCTTTGCAAAACGCATTACCATGATTCAGAACCCGAACCAAGACAAGGCAAGTCAAGTCAAACGAACTGTAGAACCCGAAAAGAAAAGAACTGTTTGTCTCTGTCTTGATGGAGGATAAGACGAAGACAATGGAGAGCGAACAGACCTCTCACACGTGTTGAGGTCCAGCAGTTTTTTTTTGCTTATCATTTGTTTGGTTTAGCTGCTGCCATGGTTCAACGCCACGGAGTGGATCTCAGGGTTCTCTGACAGGGAGGGACCCTGTAATCTTCTGGGGCCCAATTCATGTCATGGCATCGTTCCCCATCTTGATTCAATGGATCTCATCTCATCAGTCTCTTGACTGCTCTACTTTGTTGTGCTGTCTATTAAAGGGGTAAAGTAGATAATACTAGAATAGTCCCTTCATTATTGACAGCCTCTACCATAGTCCCGAAGGCTGTTCGTTTCAGACGCTGTTAATAACCTCAATGATATTGGATATACCCAGTAAAGACTGAATCTTATCCCTAGACTCTCTACCAGGTCTACCCGCAAGACAATGTCAAAGCAAAGTCTTGGACTACGGAACTTTCATCCCGCAATACACGGCGCTTTGATTTCACCACCAAGTCTCTTCCACTTCTGACAGCAGTATCAACTCATCGTACATCGACACTGCCCCAAACAAGAACAAGCTGGCTAGATTCTGACATCACTATCCCATCTATTCATCTCAATCCGGACGCGCCACAAACTCTGGATAGCAAAATCGCGTTAGAGTAAACGCCATTCTTTGGAGTCTACCAACTACCAGGTCGGGAGACGGTTGGGACCTAGACAGCCATCAAAGTCAACTTCAAGCCAGATGCTCAAGGGCTTGTTTGGATTGACTGGATTGCCTTACAAGGTTCCCAGTCGGCTTGGCCGTTCGATGCAGTTCCTGGGCTAACCACCTAGACTTTACTGCGGCGTAAACTCTACTATATTGAAGTTAATGTGGTTCCAAGGTAGCCTATCTGATTGCATAGCTCTTCTCATCATCCATCGCAAGAAACTCATGAATACCACATTCATGAAGACCCATCGTTTGTTCTCCTGACGCAAGCGCCGCGACTATGATGACGAGTACACCAAGAATATCACACACAGCAAGACTCGTGATGCCTTTGCCAGTGTGGTCATAAAGATCGTCGTTGAGACTGGAATGCGGGAACGGGGTGGGTTTGTTCGCTATTATAATTGATAGTAAGTAGCTCAAACTTAATTTGAGCGTGCCTGAAACTACGTCGAAACATGTTGCTGTGGCAGATGTTTGTTGGTATGTTTCTGAAACTTCAAGGCTTGGACGACTGTCGTGAAAATCACCAAGTCAACGCTCGTGTGTCAGGTTGCTATTATGTTAATAATATCGAGAAAGAGCTTTATGGTTCAAGATACAAGATTCAAGAAGAAACAGAGGCTTCTTCTCTTGTAGGAATATACAGTAGCCTTATCAAGCAGAGGACATGCATGGAGGGTGGTGGCAGTAGAGTTGACTCTCACTATCCTACAGCAAACTTGCAATAAGATTCTTGGGATCTTACAGATATCTCCTTTTCTGGTAGATACCCTGGCAAATATATTTCTACTACTAGATGAATGGAACAAAAGCGCTATCGGAAACATCTCGTACCGGTGCTCGGGTCTGTCCATATCAAGCACGAACTAAGTGATGTTAGATTAATGACAGCTAGACGCTATAGTGGTTCGTCGAATGTTGAAAGAATCTAGAGTCCAGCCTGCTTTCTGCCCAAGAACAGAGATAATTGCTTCTGGTTTCATTTTTTCATAGGTTGCTTTGAGTGTTCTTGGCGATGCTATCTTGTTGCTAGGACATGATCTCGGGTTACCGAGTTGATATGAAATAGTCAGTATAGCGACAACTATATGTAATAGCTCAAGAACTTTTTGAGACTGACCAGAGTTTATGAATAGTTCGCCCTAGACTATATGCTGTGCCCAATGGTAAGAAAGGGGCAGAGAGGACATGTGAACACTTGCGACAACACCACACGACAAGCCCTTTCCGTGCTATTCACAATATATAGTCGAAGGGTGAACGAAGTACTCTCGTAAAGATCGATATACTGGGAGGCGAGGGAGATTGACTATCAGAGCTGGACAAGAGGCGGAAACTGTGCCACAAGGTTAGCATTAATGCGAGCAGTCCGAATAAACGGGAAGCCAAGTGGCTATATCACTAGCTGTTAGAGCCTGTTCAGTCGAGACAGATATGTTCCAAACACTTGCAACGAACTCATCTTGCTGGTATCGAGCCGTATTGGACGTGACAGCGGTCGTGCTGGCAATCTGGAAGAGTGATAAGTCCAAGAATCGGATTGACTCAGAGTTACATATACAACCATGAGCTCGAGTAGTGGCAATCTCAAGTTACTCCGATTAGCAGTCTATGGGGAAAAGGCTCACGTTTTGGCCCATAATGTGGTGATTCCTACACAATTGTAACCTCACGAGAGTCGGTGAATGCAAACCCAGAAATTAAAGTCCATAAACTAATAACAATACATTCGTCTACATTATCTTCTTAAAAGCGTAACAGGCCATAAGCAATAGCTAGCCAACCCAGAAAAATATCCCTTGCCGTCGTCTACAATACGTAAAAGGCACAAAACTCTATGATACATACAGTACAAGTTTCACAGCTTTGGGCAACCGTTGAGAGATACTGCGCTTAACCAGCAACAGCTCGGCCAACAGCACCCGCAATCTCGCCAAACAGAATACCCTTGAAGATGGCCTCGCCCATGGTCTGTGTCCAGGCGCCGGTCTCCTTAAGACGGGCCTTCCAAGCCTCTTTCTGCTCCTCACCCAACTCCTCCCAGGTCTTGCCGGGACCATGTACGGAAGGGTCATGGACGTCGAGCTTGAGCTCTGGAGCCTGAGCATCGCCGCCGGCTGTTGCAGGGGCGACATTGCCCTCGTACACCACGAGCGTCTCACCAGTCACGGTCTTGACGACGTCTCGGCCAGCTAGCTTGGCGAGAAACTCATCAGCGAGGAATGCAGCTGGTGGGTGATCGGGAGTGCGTAGAGTGCCGTACTGTGGGAATGCCTTTTGCGCACCCAAGATCGGGGGGCTACCACCAATGAGTTCGAGAACACCCTGTGCGACGAGGGCCATGACGAGCACAATGATAGCCATTGTGATGTGCAGACCCCTGGAAGAGACCTCGCGCGAATCCTTAGCCGTAACATAACGAGGGGCACGAGGAGGACCCTTCTTGTTGCGAGGAGATTTTTCGGCGTGCTTCTTCAGAGCAATACTGTGGACAGCAACCGTCTTCTGAAGAGATGTGCTAGCTAGCTTGATGTACTGCTGGCGAAGGTTGTTCTTTGGTGTCGTGAAGTGGGAGAAGGCCAGGCCAGTGATGTTGTCTGCTCCATGGACTTCCTTCAGAGTATGTAGATGCCATAACTTGGCAAGTAGCTCAATATTGCCTCCAACTGAATGTTCGAGCGTGTACAGAGTAATGGAGGAATCATGGCCCGCAACAGCAATGACGAATTGTGTGTCACCGATAGATCCGAACGGCGAAGCTGGAGGAGAAAGGTTAGCAACAGCGAGTGCTGTTGCAGAGATCTTCCTTGGTATTCTGGCGTTGATAGACAAGCGCGCTTCTGTTTGCTCATCCTTAGGCAACCTAAAAGCTTGGACGATCACTCCGCTTCGTTTGGGCAAGTTAGATGCAGCCGCAAGAAAGTTGGGGCTCAGGTATCGAATCGCTCGGAAAGCAGGTCGTTCGCCATGGTCATCCTTCATGGTGTATACCTTTCGTGGTTCGCTGACCTCCTTTCCGCTGATGTTGACAAGATACAGTTCGTATTTGGAGCAGTATGCGACCTGGAAGTCATTCTCTCCTGTTTGAACAATATCTAAATCCTCAGCCTCCTTCTCCAGCTCCAGAAGGCCGCGCAATTTGGCCACAGGGCCTGCGACATCAAAGATCGCTATTTGGGGCTCCCTGCCCATTGCTGTAGCCGCGGCACCGGTTGATCCTGCAATGCGCAATAGTCGCTGGTATGTGTCGATATCTGGGTTCTTGAATAGAGAAGTTCGCGACGCCTCTGTAATGTTCGCATCGGGTGTCTTAGCTCCAACGGAAGTTCGCAGCTTGGAGGGATCAACACTGAGAGCTCGGAGATGCTCATTCTTGCCCTGGGCGAGGCTTTCTGGACTGGAGTTGACACCAGCGTAAACGTATGTGGTTTTCCCCTTGTGAGGACCGACAGCAAGGGACATGACGCTGTCTTCATCGCGAGAAAGGGTAATCTCGCCGGCGGAGCGAAGTTCATTCTGTGAAACGGTTTCGAGAACAGTCTGAGGCTCGAGTTAGTTCACCATTCTGTGTCAAACGATAAAGAGGACAACCTACAATCTTGTTTCCAACACCTGTTTTACTAGGACCACCTCCACCGCCTACAACAACTCGATTCGCATCCTCGGGGTCGAAGTCGACGGCATATAGAGGGTAGTCGAGCTCAATGCTCGAGCGAGGGAACAGTGAAGCCATGATGGCAATGAGGCGACGCCTCTCTTGATGCGATAGGAAGGATATCCTGAAGAAGAGTACTGTCGTAGTGTACTCAATATCGCAATGCGCTGGATCAAGATTGACGTGATGTTGATCGCGGGGCGTTTGGTGTTGAGGTGACGTTCGCTGGAGGCCAGATGTCGAGCTTGGAGCTTTCTGGTTGGTCAGTAGAGGTACAGCCACATGTGGCGGCCCATAATCGTGGCTTGACTTACACTCCCTTCAATATTCGAGTATGCCCGAGTATCAAGCAATCTGTAATCAATTGACAAGTAGATCTTTCATTCCGAATTGGCTAAGTACGTGTGTTTTTATCATTCGAGTTCAGTGGCTGATGCGACGTGTACGCCTGACTTATTGAGATTTGATTTCACTGGAAGAGGTCGCTATTGGTAACACCATTGAAGAAAGATTTAAGCTTGGATTTACAGTTCAAAGAGGATGACAAATGTCGAATTGGCTGAAGAACGAGTAAATGAGGACGGTATAGCTGAAGTATGCAGAGTTGCGGCTCAATTGCGTCGTAGTGTATATGCTGACATACATTATTTCAGCTGATGTGTGCGACTTCACTTCTCACAGATCCGGGACTCTTCAATCAAGGCGTTTGATGCTAAATGAAGCTAGAAGACTATACAGCTGCTTACATATCACTCTTAAAGTCACAGAAGATCGAAAAGTCACTGAGAATTGACCCAATGGGACCAGATCAATGGTTCTTGGGAAGGGAAGTATCGCAGAGAATACCAACCGTAGTCAATTGTTGCCTCTTTCCCATATGTAGTACTTAAACTAGCTCAAAATATAAATCCGTTTATTTCTTTCACCCTTTGTGTTGTGAGTCGCTATCGAGTATGTTTGAAGAGAGAGGAAAAGTCCAGTAAACCACCCTTTGATCATTCTGTGAGGGCCGACGTTTCGTTCAACTTTACTTTACTGAAGATGCTGATCAGGTCAAAGAGTTTCCAGACTACCCATTCTTGCCGTGTTTGTAGACAAGCTAACATCAGTCTTAGGACCGATCAAAGACTATCCACGGAAACAGCCTAGGCACCTTATGCTCATGTGGAGTATGCTTCCAAGGCAGAGAGATATAAGATTACTCCGTAGGGACAGTAAATTAGTCGCAATCAGCCTTGGAGTCCGCCCGGGTGTCCTCTTGTGCTTATCAAGAATCATTTCGGTAATCGGTGATAGATACTCTATAGAGTATTGACATCGCCATTGTTTGTTGCTTGTTATTACCAACAAACAGAACGCCCAGTTTCTCATTCTAGAAGGTGACTCTGATTCTATTCTCGTTCTCGTATAAGCCACGTCTTTGGAAATAAGCCGCCAAATGGGTTGTAAAGCCAAAGCAGGGCTCCATTGGGTGGCAAAGATCGGTCCGGATATTAGAGAGGCGTAGGAATGAGGAGATCCCGCTGCGTGTCATTAGCAAGCAGATTGAGGAGCAAACATGCAAACATCGATACAAAAGCGGTATCTCCTTTTCCTGATCAATATGGCTCGTCTCCCAATTAAGAAATATTAGCGTTGTTGCCGCATCGCATCGCATCGCACCGCATCCCTTGCTCAACTGAGGCTACCCAATTCCTGCAAGCCTTTTTTGCGTTGAGTTCCGTGCATAAGTGTAAAGTGACATGTCAAAGCCGAGTTGCAGATGATGAAGCAAAGAAGAAACGATGAACAAAAAGGAATATCATATATTATGTATGTAGGTGAGGTGAGCATTGCATAACGAGGCCTCCCTGTTTGTAGTTGGTTAATTGATTCTTAGAATAATCCTGTCTATAGTTCAGGTATGTCGCACGGGTACCTGGGCAATACTGTACAGTGCTTGTGTTTCTTGCAGCAGGGTTTCTGGCAACTACCAGGATATTGCCAGGACGAGCCATCTAAAGTAGATTGCATTGGATGATCCGACAAGCGGGATAGCGCGATCATAGTGTGGGGGAACTAATGCGGGTATCGTCCATAGTAAAGATACGACATTACAGTAACATTGTCATGGGATGAATAGGATTCTGTAATGGGAACTTTACGAACCAATATCACTTCTTGCTAAGACAAAATCTTCACCTTGGCTGATCATCGTAATCATCTATGGTATCATCAAGTGGATCGAGATTATTCAGGATTTGGATTGGGCATTAAAGTGATATTCAACCTCGATCCATCTATAGCTGCCCAATTGTACGTATACGTACTTTATCTAGAAAATTAACAATACCCCGACTAATTACAACCCCTGCTTTGAAGAAGTGTGTGATCTAATGTGAATCAGTACCGTACCATCCATCATCTCCATCTCCATGTCCATCTCCGGACATGCACACAATATGACAGATTAGGAAACTAATGTATCCTAGCCGCTAGCCGCCCATCCCATCTCTTCCCTTGTACTGTTACTTACTCGTGCCACCCCTTACCTTGCTCAAAGGCCGAGATTGGAGGATGTGACAGCTTGAACGACAAACCACGCTGTAACACGACGAGTGCATCAAAGCACATGCATATGTATGTATGTTATATGCAAGTGCATACTCTGCTGTACACTACCACAACAGCAACACCCCTGTTCCTGGGCATGTTCCCGTTGGTTCAACTGCCGCTAAAGTCGGTGCATGCAGCAATCGTCACAGACATAGACATTAACAGCACCAACGCAACGCCATACGTCTGCATGAGGTGATTTTGCTCACAGCCACAGCCTTGGGCGAGGCGAGTTGAGAGAGAAACCCCGAGTAGTAGAGACAACAAGATGCGAACGCCAGCTGTTTCGGACACGTCACTTCAGTTCATACCTCATTTTTGGTAAGCCTGAGTAAGTAGGTCAGGCAGGTGGCCAAGGTTAGGTAGTTTTCTCTCCTCCCACGACTCATCACTTGCTGAGGTATATTCCTGGTTAAAACTGCGCCTTGTATCACCAGTATAGCTTCTTTGCCAGGGGAAGGGGACAAGGTTGAGAGGAGATTAGAGAGAAATATTTTGTATGCACTATTGTCTTCGAGTGATGTTCACTCTATGCTGCAATATGATATAACCAGTTCTTAAATCCGCTGCAGAAACCAGGGTATCAGGTAGTACAAGCGAAAAAAACACTCCCATGCAACAGAAGGAAAGCCCAATGGCCGAGAGAACTCCGGTTTTGACCCAAACCACTTTTTTTTTCATATAACAAATACATAGAGGTATAGCTGATTCACAATTCCAATTTGGTATCAACGGGTTGCCAACGATAAAAACAACAACAGTAGCTAGCCAATCATAAAATACAAATGGGGAGAGTGGTGAACATAACATAAGCGAGGTTTTGGCAAGCCAGCACGTCGGTAATGATTAAAATCGGGTTGTAGGTATCTCCGCTGTGCGAGAAATGCTGCATGTTGGCGTACATGGACTGTACCATCATCTGTGACAATGTGCTGTGGGCTGTTCATAAGAGCAAATGGCTCCAAGGGTATCTGGTTGCAGAAGGATCCGGCCTCGAATGGTCAAAGCAAGCAACAGGAAAGTCGATGAATCTGTCCAACAAAGAAAGGAATAAAAAACAACGATCCTGAAGTCGGGTGCAAGCATTGAGGGTCTGGGCTGGCTCCATGTTCCCATCTAAAGCTTCCAAACGAGAACAAGATAACATGCCTGCAACAAAAGGATACAGGCCTTTGACCACTTGCTGGTATAACGAGGAGCACCATGCACGCAAAAGATTTCAACGCAAGCAACAAAAGACGTAGCGAATGAGAAAAGTGAAACAAAGCAAGACAGCATTACAAGTTGCAATAAATTCGTCGGTTGCCCAACAGATGCGTCTTAAACGTCCTCCGCTAGTTTCCAAACCCAAACAGAACACCTAAACCGCTGTGGTATTATATAGTAGAGAACACTGGTCTCGATTGGTTGCAAAGCGCAAAAACAGGTCCGTAAGTTTCCATCTCGAATATTGTCGCATTAAGCCCTGCGATGCGTATCTCTTGTCGCCCAGCCAGTTTCCTGTGCTCGAGGCTGAACAGGAACCCACTGTCCTGTTCGGGGATCCTGTTCATGCGGACCTGGGCCAGGGGCTGGGCCAGGAGGTCGACCTTCCATCGCCCTCAATGGCGGCAACCTTTCGCTGTTGGCCGAGGATGCAGCTGATGATGGTCGTGATGGTGCACCGTAGCCCGACATCGGCATGGGCGGCAGCCCACTGGGAGATGCGCTTGGATGCCCGCTCGTGACACTCGCAGGGGAATATGGTGGCAACGAATATTCGGGGTGGTCATCGGTTCGACGTCGCTGGCTTGGTCTTTCGCTTGGCATTCCTTCACCACCATAACCCATATGCCCCGATGCCAAGGATCCATTATCTGCATAGGAGTTGCTCGTTGAAAACGTCGGACTTGGGGGGCCTACGGCAAGGCCATTTATCGATGGTGTGTTCGCGACGATATCCCGTAGGCGATTGCGGTCATCGCGGTAAAAGTCTCGTTGCTGCGTCAATTCCTCAATCCTGATTTCCATCATTCGTCTTTCATCCCGAAGCTCTTGCAATTGTTTCGAGTTCTCTTCCTGCATAATCTTCTTCTTCCTTCGGTGCCTCGTCGAAGCCACAGCATTCCGTTGTCTTTTCTCATCTGCTTTCTTGGACGCATGGGAAAAGTCCATGTGAACTGGTATAGGTGTCTCGCTTCCAGGAAGTGTCATGAAAGCATGCTGTCCCTCAACGCCGAAGAGAGATCCCCCTGTACCTTGCCTTCGAAGTGTTTCCGACCATAACGAAGCAGTGTCATTTTGAGGTCCGGGACTGGGGAAAGGTCGGCCAGCCTGCATATTAGGAGAGTACGAAGTCTGGGGGTGGACTGAAGGTGGCTGCTGGCGAACTGTCGCATGGTTGGGCGGCAAAGTGGAGTGAGGACCTTGGACGCCAGGTGAAGCAATCATTCCCTGGGAATGCAACCTACCAGGTTCCGAAAGTGTCGAGGGAGGGCCAGTTGGCATCCCGGATGGATGATGGAGATTGGGGTATTGAGACCTGGCGTCTTCGGGTGTAATCTCTTCGAATGGTCGCTTTCCATGCAACGACGAAGGTTGACGGCCATCAAAGTCGCGAGATGGGACGTGGCTGACACTTATAGCTCGAGGATGTTGTGTCGGGCTAGCTTTATGTCTTGGGTTGCTCATTGTGGGAAAAGGATACCCTGCTACGGGTGAGTTGCGTCCCGAGGCAGGGCCACCAAGAGGTGTCAATGACCCTATAGGTGTACCTGGAAGAGAAATCGATGCAGTCTGGCCAGGAGGGAACGATCGTGTCCCAGGGTAAGGGCCGGGTGTTGGAGCATGCATTGTAGGGTCAGAAGGACGAGCTGCTGGTTGAAGAGGTCCGTTGCCCCCCGAAGCCACTAGCCGAGGTTCCAAAGGGTTGAGGATGTTATGGACTCCCAAAGTCTTTGTAGGGACCTGCTGCATTCGTTCATCGCCATTACTGTACGGGACATTGCTCCCATCGTGGCGTAAATCACCAAGCTGTCCGTGCCGAGTCGAGGTTGGTGAAGTTAGATCATCTCCCAAGGGGGACCTCGAAGAGCGGCCTGGGACATGTTGAGACGCAGGTCCAGTATGCGACATTGAGACAAGACCGCTTGTGCACACCTGGCCACGAGGGCCAGTGCATGGATCTTCCCCGAACTTAGCTATGGATGGTAGTTTATTGTCCTGGCTAGCAGTCGCTTTCGCTGAGGGGAAGTCTCGAGTAGGCCAAGTTGGTGTCGATGGTGTCCGTGGTGAGTTGGGAGATGCACCTGTGGAATCTGTTGCGGCAGAACCGGGTCTGCTTTGAGGAACTGGGGCCTGCGACCACAGGCTTGTCGACGGAATAGCCAGATTGATTATGGTACTGCGGACTAGATGGGAAGATAACCCAAACAGTCCTGACTTGAAGTGAAGGGTTTGAAGAAGACCAAGTAAGTCGTGACGACTTCGGCTGGAGTAATGGTCTTGTCTTTTATAACCCAAAACCTGAGTAACTCGAGAACCGTTACTGTATTAACGATTGAAAGAACAGAAATTAGTGCACCGACTCGTTGTGAGCACACAAATCAGAGTGTCTGGGTATGAACTTCAGAGCAACTATTGATTTTGAAGCTCAAGCGAACCAAGGCAGATTATTGATGAAGCTGAACCACGCAAGTGCGGTCGAAAGAAGCCGGGAATCGGGGCAGGGATATATCAAAGAATGTGCAGGCCAGCCAGCAAATCATAGACTTAAGAGGCAAGCTACCACTCTGTATGGCTGATGATGCGTGGCTATGATGAAGCCAAGTTCTCAAGCAAGCGTCTCGCCTTGTAACTCAATTATTGGCTCTGCTGTACTTGGTATCCCACGTCACCTCCGTTAAAGGGAGATCTTGCAGTTGGCTGAGATGTAGCACAGAACTGCAAGGTATAAACGGTAATTGGTGGCTTTGGCTTTGATGGTGCCTTGTCGCTGAGAGGGAAGGCTGATGGGAAGTTGTATAGCCTAGTACCGTAAGGCGGCGGCAGGGCGAAGAGGGAGAAAGATGACAGAGGTGAGAGAGAAGCAAAGAAGTGCCAGGCACAGGAACTGGCTGGTGATGTAAGATGTATGGTTCGCAACACCAACGAGAGAAAATATCTAGGTATGAGAAGCGAGTCTGTTCAAGGATGGGGCTACTGCAATTCAGAGCCACACTGTGTGGTATCCTTTATTTGCTCTGGTACGAACATGCGAGCCTTGAACTGGCCCTGGTACGTACGGCGACCTGCCCTTATCAAGCCCCAGAGCTGGCCTGGTCATCTAAAATCGACGTCCCACTTTGACTTTTAGCGAAAGAAGCCGTGGTTAGTTTCTTAGACTAAGCTGGGGGTTGAGAGCTAGGGCCCAACAGTGAACAAGCTCTTCGTCAAGGTGATGAGATGAATGGGTGTTAGTGCCGGGGAGCGTTTTGACCAGGGGCTGTGAAGACTTGAGATGCAGACGCTTGTACGGATACATACCAGGTCACTTAAGTACCCTTGTTCTGTAAACCTCGCGGTGCCAAGTCCACAGCAAGGCTTAAGAAGACCGGGGGGTGCTAAGGGTCGGGGAGCTGCCGTTAGCTCTGCCGTTCATGTCAATTTTTTCCTTCGTTTGTCTTTGCTTTACGTAGTCGGTGTGCTTCACATACAACTGTCGAGAGCTTCATGGCCATTGCCACCACCGTTCGAGCAGATAGCGAGAACGCAACATGCCTGAACTGATTGTTAAGTCCACTGGACGCGACAGAAGAAGCATGCGAGGCCAGCAGGTCCGCAAGGAAGCAGGCCTCAGTCAAGAAAGTTGTGGGATGCCGTGCAGCTCATCCTAAAGCTAAACTGAGCTCGACACCGCCCATCATTTAACTAGCTTAGAAGCTGGCGGGCTGGCGGGCTAGTATCCAGGCATCCGGAGCCTAAGGGAAGCTAAAGCGGTCAACGGGAATGCCATGTGTACGTATCCGCAGTATCATGTACGGCAGCCGTGGGCACGGTTGTACTGCGATCATATCAATGCATCACTCCCGCACAAGATCAAGCGCGGCCCGTCTCGCCCAAGCCCAAGCGTCACTCAGTACGTTCTATACGTATCCTACTCACTAAATTATCGATCGAGTTGCATGCGGATGCAAATGCCAACAAACGCACCGGCCTTCCAACGAACGACGGGAGCGCAAGGATTGTCGCTGTAGGCGCGAGGTGGGCTACTGAACCTCATCTAAGTGGAAGCAAAGAAGTGTTAGCAAACCAAGGGCAACCGCGGTAACGCGTCCAATGCAAATCCAAAAAAGCAACAAGACGGATTGGAGAAGAGAAAAGAGACGACAAGGAACCTGCCATACCGCCATGCTAACTAGGTACACACATGCAGTATTGTATCTGTACGTACCTCGAGGCAATGCGCTGGAGCAACGTGGGAGGGAGCTGAGATGGGACAAAGAAACAAAAGATCGTCGTAGTGCCCCGTGTCCGTGGTTTTGGGTGGTGCGGACCTTAAGCTAGCTGATCCTGGCTAGTCTTTGCAAGGTGCTACTTGGTTCCTTGAGCGGTTCATTGCGTACTGTACTAATTACCTGGCGTAACATTAGTCGATATATTTCCTTTTTTCTTCTTTCATGATGTCGCTTTCAATGGGCGAGGTATGGACTGTAACGCGAACTGATGGTTCACGCTGATGTGGGAAAGGTTTGCAGGCCTCGATCCCATACACCAACTCGGGTCTGACTTACAAGCAGTTTTAGTTATGCCATGCTGTGTCGTTCATGATGACATGGCATTGCATTTGACCAGTCCACCAAAAGCGGAATAAACCAGGGCCATGAATCCGCATAAGACAAGACAGCACTCACTTGCATTGTCTCGCCCGGTGGTGGGTGAGTGAGACCCAAAAAGAGACGTTGGAAGCCAAGGTAGGTAGGGCAGGGCTGCAGAATGGCAATAACAGAGTTTGTCTAAACTCACCCCCCTAGAGGCGTCGATGCGGCATCTATCACTTGAGCGATTTGAGCTCCGTCCCATGTTGATCGTGGTGGTCATATTTAGGATTGACATTCTGAAGGATCAAAGCAAGGTGGAACGGACCATATTGACGTAGTTTAGTCCACACGAGAAGAGAAAACATGGAGCGAGGCTACAAGACATGGAGAGAAGCAACCGTTGGATCAACATAAGGCAGATCCTATAAGGCAAGAAAGGGTAGGTGCCATCCATGAGGTATTCTGCCTGCCTGCCTGCTTGGAGGTCGGCAGGCAGGTAACAGGCAAGAGCAATCGGGACCCAGGTCACAGCCAGTCAGTCAATCAAACGGAAGGAACAGAATTGAAATCAACAGGCAGGCGACACCTAAAAGTGCCGCGATTCAAATTCCAAAATCCAACATCATCAACTCATCCATGTCCAATACATTTTTCTGGTTATCGTGACCTACACTCCAGAATCAAACAAACAACTAATCCTTTGTTGACACCCCAGTTAACCTTCTTTGACTTTTTTCATTCAAACTTCCACACAATACGCGCCACGACACGCAATGCGGAAGGGCGGAAGGCCCCTGGCTTACCCGTTACTGTTCATTCTAACGATGAATACTGCTAGCCCTCAATTGCTGGCATCGCCAAGACCGGCTACCATTACACGTACTGTACATATGAGTTCCGCTCTTCGACAATAACTATATTCATAGCTTTACTTTGGATTTTCGCTCATAAAGACTGACAGTTGATCCGTCTGCGCAGTCCGAAACACTTCTCTGGCAGCAGTCAATGGGAAAGCACGTGTGCAGATATTGATGCATGGCTGTTTGCTATTCTCTGCTTCTCGATCTCACTTTTCGCGCGAAACCCCTGGAGCGGTGATATACGGTACCTTGACCGAGGGGCGTGGGTGCATAGAACGACAGCAGTTTTACGGGTCACGGTGAATTACAAGACCAGGGTCCTCTACCGGGGAAGGGACCCTGGTCATGGTAAAGAGCTGCAAGGCCCACTCACGGACAGATGCAGCCATCCATGACAGTTGTCTCTACTGTGGAGACCAATCTGCATTGCGTCGATGCTAGAACTCTTACTGGTAAAGACGTCTGTACCGGGGCAGTGGTTGGAAGCTAGCAAGCTTTCACACGATCAAACGCAACATTACGTACCTGTCGATAATGTCACGCGCAAGACATACGGACCAGATCCTGTCGCACTACTATGTATCTGGTTGGGGAACGCAAGCTATTGCTACCCGTCATTCATAGCTTGCTCTATACCAGCACTGCCGCGGCAAACAGACTTGTGGACCGAACAAATGCTAAACAAACTGCTACCTTGCTAGCTTGCCTAATGGCCATAGAGTCATGCCCAAAGACGAACCTCGTTGACATCCTCTCCGACATGCTGAGACGATAGAACAACAAGGCTATAAGCAAACGATCAAAATATCGACATATCGGTTTCTAATCTTAGATTGGCAATATGGCGTCTATCTGAGAGTGCAGGGGTGATGTGACAGTGCTGTGACTGTCAATGGACAGTTCATCACAGGTTTCACAGGAAATGAACCCACGATAAAAGCGAAATGAAGTGGACCAAAGCCGCCAATATCTTCAACGGCGGGTGGCTTGAACCGTTATCACATCACGCCGTGCCGCAATTGTCTTGCCTATTCGCCCACAACGACGCCGAGCACCACGGGTCGGGGCGTTTTTAGCATTCGATCATTTCGATAGACGCCAGATTTTCCAATGGAATGAAGGTTTCAGTTGACTTCTTCTAAGCAAGCCAATATTGGTCTTCTATCGGAACCATCTCGTTGCCCGACCTCTATTATTGGCCCTAGGACCACATGCTCAGGCACGCAATCCCTAATGCAACCATGATACCGATGGCGGCAGGGAATTGGGATTTTGCCATGTCTCATCCGAGATCTTCTTAATCTTAAAAACCGGCACAGATAATCAAACATGGAGAGCATAAGAAATGAATCTATGAGGTGGCGGTCTCGGCAGTGCGGGGGTCATGATAATCGACGAAATCCTTCCATGTCATCGGAGGGTTGAATAATCGATACCGATGTTGGAAAGAAAGCGCAGCAATCATAAAGTTGGCATCCCTGTCGTTTGTGCTGTCAACGAGAGGATCACCATTTGCTTGCAGGCTACCCTACGGAATTTAGAGGGAAAGTTCGAGCCGTAAGGCTAAAACAAGTTGCCTTGATGTTGCTAGGGTCACGTCCCATCGGTGACTCTTTTCTTTTTCATTTTTTACTTCTCCCTCAACGGGAAAGGCCTCCTAATCTCCCAGTCTGTATAAGTAGAAATATCTTATTATATCCATCCACATCCTTTGCCCGGCCCGGCCCTAGTGGTGAACCCTTATTGGTTTTCGCTGTGAGGCCTGCGCTATTTGCCTTGACCTCCGCTCCTCTTCCAAAGTTAATATCGCGGGTTTGACAAGGTCCATAATATGTTAGCCGCCGTTGACGGGTATATCGCTGTGGAAGAAGCTCACTGATTTCGACTTCATTTCCACCATGTTATCGCGCCACCACAATTAACGATACTACAACCCCAGTGTAAACGTGGCCTTGCATATCTATCGAGGCTTCTGTCACTTGTATGGACAAGGGTTCATAATAGGGAGCCTCCAAGTGCTGTCTTTCGAAGTTCGGTTCAGCTTCGACAGTCGGCCCCGGTCTAGTAGTGACGATCATGGGTCTTGAAGACTCCCGTGACCATGAGCGGTCAGGGAAAGCGGCCAAGGGTTTAAGCCAGATAAAAGACGACCAGCTAATCAGCGGGCATCTGTAACTATGGCATGCATTGCGTCCTGCAACTAATTTACCCTGCCATGTTTCTCTGTGTAGTGGCCCGGGATGTGCTGGCAGCGTGGTATTTCTTGGAGCGTTTAGCCCACAGTTTCAATTAGTCAGTCACGGAGCCGAAGCCTGGTCACTCTAGACCCTTCACGGAGAAAGTGCAGCTTGGGCCTGGTTCATGCAGGAGCCCATTTCTGCATCTACAGTACACGTACATACAGCATGCAGCAGCACAGCACTGATGCATCGATGCAACCACCCACCAACGGCTGGCATGGGCGCCTCGGAACTAGTGGATGCAGCAACGGCGTTGGTAGGCATCTGTCACCCAACGGTACCGCCTCCGCTTCACCCTTTTCAGATAGCGCAGCGTCGTTGCTGCCACAAGGTAGGGCGGTGTGAGTGAGAGTGTGTGCCTTTGCATACATTTTTACCGGTCAAGAGATGTGTGGGAACTGCGGGTTGAGCTGTCTTGATGCGTTGTCCTCCAACGCTCCAGCTCACCACCATAGAGGTGGTGTTGCTGCCCAATGACAACCCAACACTCTGTGGCTAAGGAACAATTCGAGCAGCTCACCACCGGACGTGATACTACTGAGTCGAGAGATTTTTGCAGTCATTCTCTAGATACGAGCAATCTATGAAGAATTGCTCTGTTGGCCTCTCCCTCCCGCTAGACGACGTGTAGAGGGTCGAAAGCACAGATGCAGGACTGACAATGAGCTCGTTGGAAGACAGCATTCGTCTTTTCAAATCGCGGTCCACTTGAGGATCTGATAAAGCTGGGAAACACTTGATGTGATATGTGGATGAGTCTCGGTATTCATACTGAGTAAGGTTCGAGATTGAGCAACCCCAAGAAGAAAAAAACGTGGGGGCCGACCAGAAAGATATTGCCCCACGCATTGAGGTTACAGCGCCACTTACAAGCAGTGGTTCATATTGCGATGGCCTTGCGGTAACTCATTATACAAGATCCCTACCCCGAAGGTCTTTGATGATCTCTGAGCGCGGCAGTGTCACCCGTGTTAGATGCTGGACACAAACTGGCGTCTAAATGCACAAACCATGCGTACTGCAGCCGTCATTTAGACCTAGACCCAACGTACACTGCCGCAAGCGCGCAAAGAGATTGCGCACAAGGCATCCGAGTGCTGTCCATCCAATTACGGCTGCTGCGCTACCAACTTAGTAGGACCCGACAGTTTGGGTCGCGGCTTCACAAGGCAAGATCGACTGTTACAGCGTGCGTGTTGGTCAGAGAGCGAAGCGCCACAGCAAGCCAATTTGATGGCCGGACTACTTACCACCTGAAAGGCTGAGACGATATGATATCGTCGAAGCGCAACGCTATTCAGTTAAGACATTCTCCTACATCGCTGTTACACAAAATATCATGCAACAAAAGCACAAGAACAGAAGATGTTAAGTTATTCCGTGCCGCCCAGATCAGGCTATATTGCTGTATGAAGTATCCGGCTTAGAGGCCCGACAGTCCTGGAGTCGGGTTGGAGCGTACCTATGAACACCTCCGGCCCGAACCGGCCTGTTTGGCCTCCAGTTAATTTAGCCAGTACTGATACTGAAGTTATTTATCGCAAGCTTTATTTACTTTCCCTGATTTAGAAGTATTCATATTCTTCCTCCTTTGTCCAAATTCAGCTGAGAACTGCCCTGGTCACTCGTTTTAAGCTCCCCACTCTCAACCTCATTCTGTCTTGACCCGCCTATTTCCCCTCATACATCATAGAGTATCATACATATTAACCTCGACCCCGCTATCCAGAAGGTGTTGCGCCATAGCTATATCTGCTCTTGCGGAAACAACATATCTTTGTGTCACCACGTAACGCCAATATCATAACCGAATACAACCACAATGGGCGCCGATATTCAGCAATGGACGATAGAGAAGCCCTGGCTTGAGACGCACTGTCTACTGGGTGAAGGACCTTTCTATGAGGAGTCTACTGGCACCCTGCGCTTTGTGGATATCCGCAACAAGCGATTGCATTATGTCAAGGTCGCCGAAGGCCCGTCATCTCTCAAAACCACCCAGTTGGATGTATGCCCGACTGTTACGGCCAATATTGCTGGTGTCGATCCACAGGAACGAATTGCTCTTGGCATCAAGTACGGACTGGCGATCCTCGATGTCAAGAAGGAGACATATGAGCTCATTCAACCATTCGAGGAGCCGGCAAATGAGCGCATGCGCAGCAATGATGGCGGCGTGGACCCTCTCGGCCGATTCTGGATTGGAACCATGACAGACTTTGGTCTTGGACCCTTTAAACCTGAAGGTACGCTTCGCTACACAGTTGCCCTTGTCGATAAGCTATTTCGGAATGATCTTCTAATACCCCGATACACAATACACATCTACACTTTCTAACATGGATACTTTAGGAGCGGTCTATCTCATGGATGCTAAGTCGCGAGAGGTCAAGCTACCAAACATGACGATCCCCAACACGCCAGGTTGGTCTCCTGATGGGAAAACTCTATACGTCACACACTCGAGCGCCGGGGAAGTCTTTGCTTTCGACTTTGATACTAAGTCGGGAGAGATTTCCAACAAGCGCGTCTTCTATACTCATAATGGCTCAGGTGCGCCTGACGGTTTCCGTGTAGATGTGGACGGCTTCATTTGGCATGCTGTATACGGAGAAGGACGCGTAATTCGGATCGACCCGAAGACGGCCGAAATTGTAGGCGAGGTCAAAGTACCGACCAAGAACACGACATGTGTACAGTTCGTCGGCACTGAGCTCGTCATCACGACGGCTGAGGACGACGAGGGCGAGGGAACCAGCCGTGAGTATGGTGGGCATGTGTTCAAGGTGGACGTTGGTATCCGAGGCCTGGACCTCTATGAGTTCAAGCTATAGATTTTGGTTGGAGCTTGTGGCTGTAGAACGGACCTCGACTCATTTAGTCAGACTCGACTATGCGCGCTGAGCACAGACCTTGGCAGAGTTGAAGTTTGTCATTGTCATTGAGTCCTGGACAAGATTTACCCAATCAAGTTGATTATCGTCGTTGTCAATTTCTCTTACTCTTGCTCTTGTTCTCTTTTTCATTCTTTGTCTTTGAATGGATCTAAACCCGAAACCCTGGAGCGGACCTCGGCCCCGTCGGCTGGGTCGTTCCATTGATACCTACCTCTCTATACCTTGTATGTTTGCTCGCTCGCTCGCTCTCGCTGGCACGAATGCTACACAGTGTTTGTTTGACTGGTTGCCTACTCATTGTTTGTCCACAATCCATGGAGCGAATCGCATCTGACTAGCATCTTTGACGTTTCTTGGCTATGGGTTACTTGAGACATCGTGGCCTGCCTCCTAGCCTTCAAACTCATGACACCTCAAAGACCCAGCTACTTAGCTCTTGCAACTGCCGACCAAAGATCCACAATCGTGTTCTTTACCGAAGCGCTTATTCAAACACATGACTCGTGCTCATATTCCCAAGTCGAACTACAAAGGTTGACTTGGGCTGGCCCTTACACCGCTGTCAAAACAAAAAAAAAAAAAAGCCTTGACCGCTCTCACAATCTAGCGCTTTTCGTGATCGGA